CCATGTTGTGTCAGTTGGCTGCAATCACCCGTTCCTCTCCCTCCCGATTTCTTACCCAATACACCTTGAGAAATGTGCCTCCAGGCACCCTGGTGACCAAGAGCACCAGGCCCTCCCCTCAGATATACCAGGCATCCCTGCTTGGGAAGGGAAGAGGAATCCCAACGTGGGACGGCGCCACAAGGCAGCCATTGCCAGCAGCAGCAGCAGGGAACAGCATTCAGGGCTTGGGAAGACTTTGAGGGGGCACAGGTTCCTGTGCCGAAGCCTGGATGGATGCACAATCACAGAGGGAAGCTCTGAGCATCAAAGCCCCCCTGTTCCCTTCAGAGGGACTCCTCACACTGGTTTCCAGCCTCCACCCCTTGCAGGGTGTGAGGTTTGCAGGGAGTTTAGCTGAAAAGCAAGGCAGCTGAGGATCTGCTCTCTGGAGCGGTGCTGTCAATCTGCATTCAACACTGTAATGCCACGGCAAGCCAAGGAGGTCTGCTCAGTCAATGGCACGTTGGCAAGATGTAGTTATAGCAACTAAGGTCTTGTTCTCCCAACAAACCTTTGAGATGCTACCACCCTTGCACTGAGAGGTGTAGACTCAAGTGCTGATCAGGGGCCTCCTGGGTGAGGATGTCTCTTCACAAACAGGCCTTACTCCTAGTCCTTTTCCCCAGTGTCTGAGTGGCTCCTCGTCACAGCATGTCTGTGTCCTCCATGCTGAAGCTGCTCCTGCGACTGCTGGTCTTGGAGGCCTCGGGAGACATGGCAGAGAACAAAGGGTCAGAAGCCAGGGGCAGCATGGTGTCCTCCATCAGCATCAAGTCCAGCTCTTTCTTGGATAGAGAAGGGAAGGAGACGTTGTGGCCAGGGTCCAGCTGGTCGTGGAACCCACTGGGGCCATTGTCAAAGCTCAGGCTTTGGGTAAAGTCCAGCTGATGGTAAGGAGACTGAGGTGGTGGCGGGAGGGATGGCTGTGGCTGTGTCTCCTGGTCAGGATGTAGTTGATGCTGCTGAGGCTCTGTTGACCCATCCTCTCCTCTGCTGGCCTCTTGCTTCACAACTTGCTGAGCCAGTTCTGCCACATTCACCCCAGAGGGCGAGGAGGTTGGCAGCCCATGGATGCGAGCCTGCATCTCCAGCTCCTGTGGGGCAAAGCACGCAAGCCAGGAATCCTTATCTGAGGCAGCAGAGATGTAAACCGAATGGGAGGGAGCTGAAACCATCTCACCTACACTAGTGCTCTGTGGGGAGCCCTTGCAGCCAACCTGACATGGCAAAGCCACCCAAAACAAAGGGCAAGGGACACCAGCGGTTGCAGCAAGTAACTGTCCTGGGGACCAAGCTAGTAACAGGGCAAGGCAGGGAGGTAAAGAGTGCAGGGGATGCAGAGGGAGGTATAAGGAGAGGTTGAGACAGGCAAAGGCGCAGAGTGGCAGGAAACCACACAGATAAAAGGCCAGACAGAGAGAGCCTCACAGGAAAAGAAATAGAGGAAGAGGCTGGTGCAAAAACCATGTCACTGCCAATATTGAGCTCTAACAGGCTTCCCTCTCTGTCAGCACTGTTATTTCATAAACCCAAACTACACACTGGGCAAAAATCCAGGGAGAAGGTAAGGCAAACACGGCTGGCTGCAGGGCTCTGGGCTTTACTGCCAGCTGACTGAGGTTGCCTGCCAAAGCCAGACAGAGGATCCCCCACCCAAGAGGCACCGGGCACACACAAAGCCACAGGTTAGGCTTTTCCAGCCAGAAGGCCTCGCTAGACTCCTGAATCCATAGTTACGCCCCTGAGATGTCTCTAAGGGGCCCAAATATGAGCTCAGAGCCTACCATAAGGAAACCCAGCATGAAAATGATCTGTTGGTCCAAAGGATCCTGCTCACAGCCAAGGCAGCTAATTATAGAGGGAGCCTTGTCCCCCAGGGCACACCCTGGGCTGCACGTATCCTTTGTGGCACATATGACATCACCCATGACAGCTCATTATTCCAGTTCCTGCAAGATGTGCCAGCTCCTGATGAGCCCTAGGCAACTGGCTGACCATGGTAACCATGCTCACAGAACCCGCCCTACTGATGTCAATGGGGACCCCTCATGTGAGTAGGATCATAAAAGTAGGGTTGGAAGGGACCTCACAAAGCCATTTAGTCCAGCTCTCTGCTCAAGACAGCATCATCCCTGACAATCCATCCCAACCTGCTTTTGAAAGTTTCCAAGGATGGAGATTTCACTTCTCCAGGTAACCTGTTCCAATGCTGGACTACCCTTACAGTCAAAAAGTTCTTAATCGCCAACCTAAATTTCCCCTACTGCAACTTGAGGCTGTTACTCCTAGTCCTATCCCCTGCGGCCCATCTCCATCTTTGTAATCACATCCTTCAGGTATTTACAGCCTGTTATCACCCCCATGGGTGCCCCTCCTGGGCCAGCTCTGGCCCTTTAAGAAAAAAAAAAAAACAACAACCCCACCCTAGACTCACTAATCCTGCCAGCAGATCCTCACTGCCCCCCATTACCCCACGCCATGTGGGGGGCTCTGCACCTGGCTAGCTTTGATGAGGGCAGGTGGGGACCTACCTGGATGCGGAGCAAGAGCTGCTTATTCAACATCTCCAGGCGCCGAGAGTGATTCTCCAGATCCCGTGACTTCTGCAAGTCCTTCTGCATCCTCTTGATGTAGTCAACAGAGGCCTTCAAGATGGTCCCTTTGTTCCAGCGTACATCCCTGGGGTGTAGCAAGGAGAAGATGTGACAGCCTGCACCTCCCAACCAGCCTCAAATGCCTCCTGAAGAGACCTGCTCTAGTGCAAAGCCACCTGCAAGTTTAATGACCTGAATTATCATTTGGATGCCAACACTGCACCAGGTGCCTGCCCATGGCACTGGCAGATCAGCCAAAGGAGTCTGTGTGAAACAGACCCTGCCCAGTCACAAGAGTAACCTGCTGTTACCAGGAAGTTGAGCAGGATGTCTAGTCCATCCTGTGGCCAGGACACGACTGCTCTCCCAATGAATTCTCAAGTACTTTGCATGATCACATTTTAAATGTCCTAAATATTCATCTTTTCCCTGGGATAAATGCTCCACAGGACAATCTTCTCCCCACTGGCAGACTTCAAACTTGCACTGAGTCCCAGAGAGGCCACATGGGTCCCCACCCTGCAACATATTCCTGACAACATTATACTGGTGCAAAAGGTCAAACTGCTAATTGACACCCTTACACTGATCCAAAAAGTGGGTGTAGAACAAAGCCAAATTTCATCCCCCCCTCCCTTAACACCTGGCTTCTCCACCTGGGACAATGCTTATTCATTCCTCTGCTGTGCACCCATCAAATATTTGTGAGGCAGCCCAGAAATGAGGAAACTGTCACTTTTTGCAATACTTACAGGTCATTGGCTTTGGGGATCAGCATGCCAAGTTCTTTAATCCGATCGTTGATGTTAAACCTTCGCCTTCTTTCAACTAAAAGGAAGGAAAGAGATAAGAGAGATGGACACTCGTTAAGGTTTGGGAATGTGGGACCAGCTACAGAGAAAGGCCCCAAGGCTCTGAGTTTGCTCATTGTTTCAGTCCCCATTGACCCCAGCCTGCTTCAGGTTAATGGCCTGAATTCCCCATTCCTAAGAGACAGTCTTCTGCCTTGTACATCTCAGCAGGCCTTGGATGAAAGGACTAGCAGGAGCTGACTCATCTGCATCATCCAGCCATGCTGATGGGCCAGCCCTGGAGTTAGTTCACACAGGATTGATTCCATAAACCCAGGGCAGTTGGGAATGAATGTCCAAAATATATGAGGAGGTTTTCAGTAGCACAGAAATGGCTTTGATTCTAGGATGGGTTGCAGGTAGTTCAAACAGGTGTTGGGAAAAATAGATTGTAGGGCTACAACTGATGGGAGACAGGTGGTTCAGAGCACTGGGTGATACAGGAGGGTCTAGGTAAGACCAAGGAGAGTTAAGAGAAACCCCAGAGATGAAGAACTAAGCATGTTTCAAACAGGGAATGAAATATTTAAACAAACAGAATACCCTGTCCAATTAGAAAGGGTGCAGATGTATAAGGGATACAAACCTTCATGAATCAAGGCTCTAGCTAACTTCTAATGGACAGTGGTCACGAAGGAACATCCCCTGAGAACAGGTAACCCCATTATAGTCCAGAATGGACTGTATCATCTGACTCAGCTTGGAAGCTCTCTGGGTCTGGAAACACCTCATTGTTCTGGGATCCTAAGTCCATGACCAAAGGCCTCTAGACCAAATAAGACCAAATAAGTAGCAGTAATAGTAATAATAATGTTTCTTTTGTGTTCTTCTGAAATATCTAGTGTTGGGCATTGTCAGAGACAGGATTTTGGATTAAATGGAGCCAGGCTCTGATAAGCCATATGGATCTCTCTTTCACCAGGCTGAGACTGCATGCGTTTGGGAGCTCTGAGGTAGAAACTGTTGTTCAAAGAGATGAAGAGCATAAAGGTCATTAGGAAAAGAATGGTCTGATGAGAATGAGAGCGGGAGACGCAGACCTGCAGCGGGAAGGAACCAGCCACTTACTCAGGTTGTGATTGTCCTTCTTCTGACGCTCTTTAGCCAGGGCACGGCTCTCGGCATCTGTAACAGAGACCCAACAAGTCATGGTAAACGGCCCCCATCTGTGATGGAGCCATGTGTCCAAGACCCACTGTACAGGTAACACACAGCCCCCAAGGGCCTAACCCTGAGCCCTCTGGGCTGCATTCTGCCATCGCCCACATGGCACCAGAGTCAAAGCAGGATCTGGCCCTGCCCCAGGCACTGGCAGCCATGTGAGTCCTCAGACGTACCTGTCATTTCTCTCTTCTGAGTGAGGTTGGCAGGGCAGGAACTGCTGGTGACACCCACCAGAGAGGCCGTCACCTGGGGGTCACCACTAAACACATTCATGTGACTGCTGGACATCGGCAGCTGAAAAACAAAGGGACATGTGACTAGGTCAATTCTGGTCCATGTGGAACAGGAGGAGGAGGAGGAGGGGGAGGGAAGCTTGCAAGCTGGATCAGGACAGTTAGACTCTAGATCCCAAGGGCAATGCAGACCAGTAGGTTGAAGGTGCCACTGGAGGGGGCTGGCAGCTCCCGGGGTCTCTTCCCAGCTCTAACACTGACTTTCCATGTGACCTGAGGGGAGCCAGTTAAGCCTCAATTTCCCTGCCTGGAAAATGAGGAGTGCAATGCCAGACCAGCTCGCTGAACAGTCTGGGAGTGCCGTGCTGTTCACATCTCCTCCCTGCGCCCCAGTTTGCTCAGCTGCAAGATGGGGAGAAAGCTACTTATCTTCCTACGGTGCTTGGTGTGTGTGCGTGTGTGTGTGGAGGAAATGCCTTCTACAAGTGCTAGGATTCATTCACCAGGCTGGGATCTTCTCATGGAGAGACTGGCTTTCACTGGGAACCAGGCGCTAACCCCCCAAGGCCCCACTGAAGCAGCCAGCCTGAGTGTTTGGGAAGTGCTCACAAGCTGCACTGCTGTGCGATTCATTTTCACAGAGCAAGAGAAGTGGAGAGGGTTGCTACAGATCAATCGGTCCACCTGTCCTTTGCCTGGCTGGGGTGTCCACAACAGCCAAGGGCAGGAGCTCAATGCACATCACATAAGCCTCACAGCAAGCTCTGGGCATGGAGGTAGCCTTATCCCAGATGGGGAAACTGAGGCACAGCAACGGTGTCCAGGGAGACACCTGTCCATAATCACACAGTGGCTGAATGAAGAAGAGACTCCAGTGCCTAAGCCAATAGCCTGCAATCCTCTGTTAATCGTGGAGTTCAGGTGACAACTTTCTGTTCTTCGTGTGGTCCAAATTGTGCTGAGAGCACACGTCAGGTGGGGGGAAACGGGGAGGAGAGGTATCACATACCAGGATCCGCTTTCTGGAAATCAAGACTGAAAGGCTTTTCCCCCTAATCATCTTTTACTTCTGACACAAGCTTCACAGGGTGAGAGCCTCCCGCCTATGCAATGCCAGCAGCCAGACCAGACAGTTGTAATAGTCCCTTCTGGCCTTAGAAGAAATCTGTAATCTTAACATCTTACACCTCCCGGCTCCTGGGCAAGCCACAGAAACCTCATTACTAACCAGGAAGCTCAGAGACCAGAAGCCAGGTGTTAAGGTCCCTCACTGCTTCCCCCTCACCAGCCAGGCCAGTCCAATGTTTACTGTCTCCAGCGCAGGCTCCAGCTAGCTCGGACTAGACTTACTATGAGGCAACAACAACTACAACGACAGGGGCTGACACAGTGGGAGGGAGGCATGGCCGGTTTGTACACACACAGTCATGCATGATTTCCCACTGTGTACGTGGCGCCGTGCCAGGCAGGAGCCGGCGCTGACGTACGCAGCCCGTGCAAGCAAAGCCTGAGCTATGGCTTTGACAGTCAATACCAGCGATCGATGCTGGGTCGCCACCCTTGGAGAGATGGGGCCCTATGCTCCATCCCAGCCGAGCTCTGCTCAGGACGGGAACTGGTTTGGGAGGGGGAGAGGGGAAGTTGGCTCTATGCCTCCTGTGATTCTCCCCCTATTTTAGGGGCAGCCAGGAATTTGCCCACCCCTTGGTGTATCTCAGATCAGTCTAGGTGGCCATTTTAACTTACACTCAGCTCTGCACAGCCCCAGAAGGTCATTCTTGCAGTGGGCACTGCTTAAGCCATGCTGTTTCTGCCTAGCCATGGATCTCATGGCCAAGGGTGACCAACGGCAGCATGGACCAGCTACCCCAGATACATAACACTGAAGGAACCCCCTTGCTGGAGAAATGTAAAGGATGCAGAGCCACTGACAATTAAACCCACAGTCTGTGTGGAATAGGGTTGTCTTTTCTGCAGCAGGCACTCTGCAACTTCCCCTCTGCCAGAAAAGCTCAGTTACCCCTCACCCCATGACCACAACAGTCACCAGTGACTGCAGAAGTGCATCTGCTGTAATTGTCCCTTAGTCAGGATGGCTCCGATACTGCCAGTCAGGGCAAGACAAGAACAAGACACTCACGGTGTTAGGCATTTGCACTTCTGGATTAATGTAGCCCAGAACGTCGTCCAAACGCATGATGTCATCAATGACCCCGTCTATCTGAAAGACAAAGTTGCAATGCGATAAGTCTCACAGCCAGGGCTGTGACATCACTGGGCAAAAGTTTCTTGCAAAGTGGGAAGTTTCTTGCAGCTCAGCGGGTGACTCCCTAACGCTGACAAAAGTGGCTCTGTCCTGCTTGATGATGGCCTATCCCAGAAGTCCTTTACCTCCTATAACGCTTTCTGCAGCACAGCCCAGCAATCCTGCCCTGCTCCTGACTGCCGAGAGAGGCCAAGACTGGGCCGTGCATTTGCCCCCTCGCAGCCAGGGTGCAGATCACCATTCACTACAGCACTTCACGCTGGGGGATGCCAGGACTGCAATAGCTGTCAGCTCCCCCAACCAGAGCTTCTACCCTATTCCCTAGTGTTCCTCCTGGCTGAAGAGACTTGGGACAACCACATGCCATTTCTCTACCCTACCCATCCTCTCCCCTCCTCACACTGCTTGCTCCGTGACTCCCAGCCCTTGCCTTACCTCCCGCTCCGGGTTGGAGCCAATGTTGAGCATCGCCATGGGGCTGTTGGGAGCACTGTTGCCGGCTGAGGATGACATGACATGGCTGGGCCTCACCCCAGGCGAGGCAGCTGGGGGAGGCTTCGGGCTGATGTGAGCAGCAAACTTGTTCCCGTATGTCTCGGAGATATACTCCTGGACCTTCTTATCCCGCGACTTCTGCAGGTGGTACGTGGTGGGGTTCTCCAGATATGACTGAACCTAGGAAGGACACCTGTTAGCGCTGGCACACACTACTGCCAACACGAGCCCCCTCAGGGACAAGACACCGACCCAGCCCAGACCGTACCTTTAGGACCTCTCCTGGCACAGACGGCGGTGACTGGAAGTGGACTGGAGTGTTGATGGCCGGTGTGGGTGCTATTGGCATCTGCTGCTGCTGCATGTAATGCATCATGGCCTGCTGCTGCATCCGCTCCCGCTGCTCCTCTTGCTGGGCTTGCTCCCGCATGAGCTGCATCCGCAGTCCGATGCGCGACGCCATGATGCTCGCGTGGGCTGAGTCACACCCCCTCCCGAGGCACAGAGAAAAGGCTGAAAGGGAGAGATGAAAAGGATAGGACCACAGCAAGGCAGGTGGCCGCTGGCACTCGGCCACAGGAACACCCCCCTGCCCTGCCCTAGTGTTCAGCAGCCAGGTATCTCAAACATTGTATGCAGGGAGGGTCATATTATTACCATTTTGCAAAGAGGAAACTGAGGCGCAGGGAGTTAAAAGGCTTGCCCCGGATCCCACTGCACAAATAACTGCCTCATAACAGCTCCCTGGCCAGACTCAGAGCCTAGAGTTACAGGAGGGTCGCTCGACTGTCCCCGGTGATGTGACTTCTATCTGCTGCACTGTCTGGAGGAACCCTTATGAAAAATGCCACATAAGGTGTTGCAGGTACATTGTTTGGAATTATTATTGCACAAGGTGATATATGTGCAGATATGAAGAGGCAGGCTTTGTGCCAACGAGCTCACAATTTAAATGCATCTGATTATGGAGAGTGCATTATCCCCACATCACTGATGCGCCAGGGAGACCCAGGCGAACAAGGTGCTGCCCCCGGCTTTCTGCCCAGGGGATCTCTAACCAAGCTGCCCCCCAGAGCCAGGCGCACAACCCAGGAGTCCCGAACCCCGACGAACACCAAGCCCAGCTCTAAGTGGGCTCTTTGGGCTGGGCCTCTACAGAAAGGACCCGCAAGAACAATATGCTGCATTGTAAGATGCCACCCGCAAAAAGGCACCTGCTCTCAAGCCAAGTGTTTCTGAAAACACGCCAACCACAGCTCTCTGCTCAGCAGTAACCCATTCCTCTGAACAAACCACTGAATTCCAGGCGACTGCCATGTCTCACCTTTCCCCCTCGATCTGGAATGACTCATAGGAAGGGACTTGGAATAAATACTAGCAACCCTTAGCTGTTTCATAATACTCACTTAACTTCAGTAGATTGTAAAGCACTTTAAATGCAAAGTTGCTATCACCATCCTCCTGTTACACTGGGGGAAACTGAGGCACCAAGAGGGGAAGTGACTTGCCCAGGGTCACCCAAGTCAGAGCTGCAGCCATGTCTCCTGGGTCCTAGTCCAAGGCTGTATTCACTGAACTGCTGGTTCCCTTCCTAACCAGCCTCGTCACCTCATCTAGCAGGCTCAATGTCCTTTACCCACCTATATAAGCAAGGCCTGATTTGCAAAAGCCCTGTGGTTCCCAGAGAGCTCACTGCCATGCAGGATCTAAGGATGGGCTAAGGAGCCCACTTTCAGTCTCAGCCTTGGTCTCTCTCCTTTCCTCAGTGGGGAGAGCAGGATGGCAGCACACACCCTACGTGTGCTCAGATGTCAGGCTCTTCAGACAAGTTCGCTCTTCTTTGAAGTATCGAAGTGGGGTTGGTCTGGGCAGCTGGCATGAGACCGACAGTCCCAGGCGCGCCATGCAGAGATGGACCAGCACCGGAGGAGGAAGAGAAAGCAGGGGGTGAAGAGACAAGGCAGGACACAGCAGCGTTGCAGGGAGGCAATTCCAGATCCTAACTCTTAATGATCTCTGTGAGCTGGTTTCTTCTGGGAGGAAGCGAGCACGTAGGCTCTCCAGGTGACTTCTCTGTTTCTGCAAGAGAAACTCAAGTGCTATGGCCAAGGGACAACATGAAAAAGGGAAGGGGGGGTGGGGGAATGAGAAAACCCAGCAGACAGAGACAAGACTACACAGCTGGATTTCAGGGAAATTGCCTACTGCCACGGTGAGACCCCTGGTAATGTGAAAGAAGGAAAGGATGGAAGAAAAACACATCTGAGAGACTGAAGATGTGACAAAAAGAATGCAAGAGGGAATAACTGGAAGAAAAAGCCTCGTGAAGAGACACAGAAGGGCAGGGGTTTGACCGTCCACCCCGGAGCAGCCCACAGTCGGCCTCCCTTCTCCCCGGACAAGCTCTCGGGAAGACGGCCTGTTGGGGGAGGCGATGAGACCATCAGGAGTCATTAAGCCCCGGCAGCGGAGTGAAACCTTAGCTCTGAACCGCGGCGCACAATACCGCTTCTGTCCGACGAGCCCGTGCACCAGAATCTGGAGGCGGGAGAGAGGCAGCACGAGGCGACAGAGGCCGACGCGGCCAGACACAGACAGGGCCCTTGTTTGTCCGTACAAAGGGGATGCGAGCCCATTGAGGGGCAGTGAAGCAGCACTGAAGATGCCTGCAGAGAATAGAGGGCTCCAGAGGGAGCTGCCCTACCTGGGCCCTAATAACCAAAGAGCTGAGTATCAATACCTCGTCGGTCCTCTTGGACAGGTGACCATCTGCAATGGCTACAGGTGAGCACAGAGTAGCACACAGAGGAGAAGGGACTTGCCTGTGTGATAAATAGGGAGACAGACTAAGAGCTGGAAGTAGGACCCAGGAGTCCTGACCATCAGGCCACAAGCCACTGCCAAGCGGAAGGCAGGGGACTTGGTTCCCAGTCTGCTGCTCTAACCACCAGCCTGCACTGCAACACCTCACTGCCGGGGACGGAGGAACCTTTCCTTGAGATGGCAGGGACTGACACAGAGGGAGGGATGCCATGAGGACCAGTGCCCCTAGGGACACAAGAAGAAGCGTTTCCTTATGGTGCCAGGAGCAGTCGGGGCCTCCCACTGGGGCTCCAAGTGAGCATTGCGCTGCAAAGGACCCCCAGCCCACTGCAGAGCAGACCGGTGTGGTAGGGTGGAGGGCTCTCGACTCCCTTTTCCACATGCCTCTAGCAGTTGATTGTATGGAGGTTTTCCCCAGGTGAGCTTTTCTGTACCCTGTAAGTCCCTTTCCCACTGGCAGAGTGTCAGAAAAAAAGGTTTTAGCATAGCTGAGAATCAGCGTCTCAACTTGCCCTCTGGTGCTCCCTGCACTAATATCTACTGGGCCATCCACGGCCTGTTTGACAAAGGCTGTCATGCTAGTGCAGTGTCCTGGGGCCAGATTCCCTTTGGGGTGAGCACAGTCTCCCCGAGGGATGCTCTGCTGTTTGCACTGGTCCCAGCTGTCCCCAGACACCAGCGCTGTGTAACTGTGTGTCCCTAAGCAGCTGCCTATTTTTGCCTTTTCGTGGGGCGTGAATCGCTCTTTCCGAAAGGAGTGCGAGGCAGTTCCCATTCTGTGCCCAATTTTGATACTGCCTCCCTCCTTAGCTGCTTCTGTTATGTTCAGATGGTTTGGGACCTTTCTGGATGGAAAAACCTGCTGCAGATTCACACATTCACAGAAATTTAAGGCCAGAAAGGCCCTCATTAACCAGGTGACTGAAGCAGGCGTTACCCAGAGCCCCTGATTTCACTGTCAGCCCCTCCAGAACATGAAGAGTAGATGAGAATGAAGTGCCTTGGTCCTGATCTTTGCTCTGCCCCCAACTCCCCAGGTAAGTCACTTCCCCTCTCTGTACCTTGTTCCCCCGTGGCTCAAACAACACTACTGACACAGCACCCAGAAGCTCCAGGGGAAGGGCTTTCCATCCCAGCAAAGCAGGACGAGTGTCTCTTATGAGCCACATGCAGCAGGACCTCAGGTCCACATCCCAGTTGTGATGTGGTGCAAACCTAACATATCTGAAGCAATGACATGGGGGCCTCCAGCCTGAAAGAGCTTGAATGGGCTTGATTATCTGACAGCACTGCACACCCGGTCCCTCTTTCGAAAACGTCGTGTTGAGCCCCCCAAACTCATGACGTGCTTTTGAAAATCCAAGCTGGGAAACATAGGAAGGCCTTTTTCTGGCACTGGCTGGTGTAGGGGTCAGCCACCTTTTCGGAGTGGTGAGCTGAAATAAACCTGCCCGGTCCGAGGCACCCAACTGCTTCTCCTGCTGCTGTGTCTCTCCACCACCGAAATGCTGTCCAGGCTCCACGGGCCAGATAAAACTGCTTGGCAAGCTAAATCTAGCCTGTGGGCCGTAGCTTGCTGACCCCTGGATGAGTGGGTTGTTGGTGTTTCATTAACTTGCATCCTTTGCTAGAAGTTATGAAGCTAATATTTGAAGGGGAAACATATAAAACAATGTGGACCCACTTAGGCAGAAGCATAGCTAGACAAAGGTTTTTCTGTTTAATGGTAATACACAAATGCAAGCAAAGGGGACATGGCAAATATAATATATCCGGGTTTCAACGAGGCATCGTATCCACACAGCCACAGGATATCTGATGGGGGAAATTAAATCAAGCCAGTTTGGACACAAATATGATTACATGGATCAAAAGTCAGCTATTGGATGGGGAAAGGAAGGTAATTAGTTAGGCATCGTAGGCCATTTTGAGGGGAGAGGTGCCCAGCGGGGTCGCCCTGGGATGGGTAGCACGTACCAATTTGCTTAGGTGGCTTTTGCTAACTCCCTGCACAAAACCGCAGACAACCCAACTAGCAAAGTGTGTAAGACAATGCTAAGCCTTGAGGGGTGGTTGAGCCAAGGGAAGTGCAGAAATACATGCAGCGGGGATCAAGAGATGCTAGCAGAGAGGCCTGGAACTAATCAAATGAGGCTGAGTGTGGATAAGTCCTGGCTTACGCAAGTAGGGACCAATAATCCTGAACATAAGATGTAGGGCAAGAGGCAAAGCCTTATAAAGCAGCTGTGACAGCCAATGGCACGTTCCCACCCAGCAAAGCCCCCAAAGCGTTTTGCAAACTATAAACAAGTTGCTTCCCTTGGCTTTGACCAGCAGCTACCTCTGGGCTGGAAGATGCAGCTGTTTCAAGGCTATATACGGCGATGCTGCACAGGCAAGAGAGCAAGTGAGAAAGACGGCCTAAGCTGGAGAAACGTGTTTCATGAACATAACCTGTGCATCTAGCGGCAGGGAAATAAACTGGGTAGTGCCAGGGCTCTCCACAGAAGCAAAGACAACTAGAAGTGCTGGGAAGCCTATGGGACCACATACGAGAGCAGAGAATCAGTGCAGAGAGGATTGGCACCATGAAGGGAAACCAGGGTCTGCACCAGTTCATAGATGTTAGGGGCTGGAAGGGACCTTACAAGCATTGGACCACCTATCTCAGGCAAGCTTAACTAGCTGGGTCAATGCAAATCCCAAAACCAGGAATAATGGCCACAAGTTGATTAAGAGT